CAGCTCAGGTTAACAGAGCCAGGGCAACTCTGCCGATTGCCTCGAATCGATAAGTGCGCCCAGGCAACAGTCTTTGTTTTCTTCCTCCCGGCCGGACAAAGCCAAACCATTGGACAATGCCGGCTTCTCAGATTGATCTGTCTCTTGTGGGCCAAGGAAGAGCGACTCAGAGACAAAGATTACGGCCGGCTTGATCACTATGGTGAGAGTGGTGAACGAGCATGATAGGCGATTAGCCATGTGAAGGGAAAATCAGACGATATCCGAAGCGCTGTTAGACCAGTTCACGACATTTCACACCAATATATGAAGAAGAAGTGGGTTTTAATGAAACCCCTGAAACAACATGGTTGTGAGGACTTCCATTTCGTATAAAATGCATGCTGGAGAGATTCGTAGGCCGATCTCCCCAGAAGAAAAACGACTGATGCCATTGTACTGCAGTTGTTTGGCGCTAATACTACATTCAGGTCAATGAAGTCTACGAGACATCCTTTCTCGTTTTGGGTAAAAACGGGTTGAGTTTTTCTTCGTCATTTGACAACCATCCTCACTTACCAGTCTGCCATCAGCTTAAACAAAGCATGGCGAATGCAGCTCTTAGTCACAAATAGCTCCTGCTCTAGCGCCTACATTCATTACCCCTATTCTGGATATTGGCTGATTTTTATTCATTTGGCCATATTTCATGTCAGAAAAAGTCACCAAGGGAGTCTTCGAAACTCACTTTTTATTCTGGGGTGTAGTCAAGCCTGAGTTAAGAGGCAAACTCGGCCTTTGCTCTTATTGAGAACTCATGAAACCACACAAAAATGAAGATTATGAAAACATGTGTCCCAACCAAACGGTTACCATGATCAAGGGGAACAAATATTTCCACCCGAAATTAGTTAAATGAACTTTGAAATTCCTTTCATCCAATGATACTATGGCCATATTTTGGTTTTTCCTAAAACCAACATATCCAGTTTCTGAACTAGTGCACCCATGGGAGCTAGCTAGACCTTGACTAAATCCTGAAAATAGCGTTCTTTCTTACTGCGGAATACCGTAAGGGAGGTGGGGTAAAATCCAGACTTTCCTTCAATCCTTCGCAAATAGTCTGATTCATCGTGTTTCTCGACACAGCTATGGAGACATTCTCTATAGGACATTGGTAAATCACACTTAAGGCTAACCAAATAATAAGCCAGAACATAAGATGGGCTATATTGTAATTACCATGTCTTATGCTAACGCATGCACATGCACACACACACACACACACATATATATTTATACACACTTTATTATGGGTATAAAAAATACCAGGCAAATTCAGTCTATATCCATCTAGCTTTTTCGTTTTTATATGTAGTGCATATTTATATATGCATATATCTAGAATAGTATATAGTATCGTATATAGTACAAAGAATAGCATAGTTATATATATATATATATATCATAGATAGATAGATAGATAGGCAGGCAGGCAGACAGAAAAATAGACAGACAGACATATAGACAGACAGACAGACAGCAAGGCAGAGATACCTATAGACAGACAGATAGATAAATAGATAGATGAATGGATGGATGGATGGATGGATGGATAGATAGATGGGTAGATGGATAGATTAA